GACAAACTGTTTCGTCGGAGTTTCACCGACTCATATATATATATATATATCGTCACAGACAGAACTGCCCGGTAAAACCGTAGGCAGAGAGAGAGAAGAGGACAACAAACGAGGGGCTGTGACAAACTGTTTCGTCGGAGTTTCACCGATATATATATATATATATATATATCGTCACAATATATTCACATACCTCTGAAGTAGTATGAACTAAAAGAACGCACTTTGCAAAACAAACGGCCAAAATAAAAATCAAAATCAAAAACACGACAAACATGAAGGGCACACTGAAACCATTCATTTTTCTCATTCTTCTTTTGACTCCCCATTCACCGTGCCTCTCACGTTCAAGGCTTGCCATGTTGATGAAGTTGAGCGCGATAGGGCATTTAACTTTGACGATCCTGGCCACAATTTCGTCGCTTTTTAAAAAACTGAAACCTTTGTCAGGTCCTACTGGTGCGAACACAGTAAGCCCCGATGATTTCGGTTCAGAACACATTGAAATTGGAGCCAGGAAAATCACAGCTAAACGCCCAAAGGAGGTATATCCAACCACCCTCCTTGCTAATTAAGAAAGAATATTCTTCAACCGGGCAATCGCTGGTGCTGCTCACGATAATCTCTGCCGCGATGGCACTTGTTCACAATTCCTTAATTACGGTCGGGATCCTTCCACGTGATCAAAGTACGGCGACAAGGGACCCGACTAAGTGGGGCAACCCCTGGATGAGGAGACCGAATCTTACGATGATGACGTGGAGGGATCCCGACCACGATAAAGTCGAAGGACAATGTGACATTGTCGACGTGATCGTGCATAGTTAGTCGGGATCCAGGTCATCATAGTCGGGATCCAGGATATCATGGTCGGGATTCACGCCATCGTGTTCAGGATCCACGTCATCGTAGTCGGGATCCACGTCATTGTGGTCGGGAACCACGCCATCATCGTGGTCGGGATCCACGCCATCATCGTGGTCGGGATCCATGCCATCATCGTGGTCGGCATTCACGTCATCGTGGTCGGTATCAAATCGCCATTGAAAGGACATTGTCGATTTCCTCATGCAAACGATTCCATGGTCGGGATCCCTCCACGTCATCATCCAACCAGCTGAATGGTATACACATCTCTTTCTTTCTTCTTGAAAATTTTTAATTTTTTTTTCCCTTTTATGATATCATTTCAGCTTCAAGTTCTTCTATTCTTCCAGTGATAAGATATTGGGCGTCACTCCACTACTCACCACATGCTCAAAAGGAAAAATATATGGCAGTGCATCTTCCCATGTTCTAGCGGAAGATTCGTTCTCTTTTTGCACATGTACAATTAATCTTAGCCAGTGGTACACTCATCTAACTGTTATCAGACAGAACAACATGGCCATGCGCTGCTTCGACATGGGGTCTAACTGCACAACACAACACTCTAATATGTATCTGGACATAGCAACATCCCGATACGTTCAAAATGTTGGATTCCTCCAGACGCACTTGATCCCAAAAAGAGTCCAAATGAATGTAAGGTGTTGAGTAGTGGAGTGAGGCCCATGGGGAAAGGGAGGGAGAAGGAAGCAGAGAAGAAACGGGTGGCACGTGCGAGTCGGTCAGAGGGAAACAAGGAGTTAGAGGCCTCCGCTCCAGTACTCAACTTTCAACACATATCTTGGTGCGTTGGAGGAACCTGGACCAGATACATTTGGACTAATCGAACATTTCGAATGAATTGGGACCATGATCACTTCCAAATACATTTTGAATGCTGTGCAGTGGAGCAAGGCCCAGATACCGACCTGTCCTGCCCTCATCGGTCGGCTGCCAGTGGCTACTGTCAGAGGTCTACCACCACTGTCGCGAGGTCGATACTGGGCTGTGTTGCCACGTGGCACCTCAAGCTCCTCGCCACATCAGCGCCTCCCCACCCAACTTCTCAAAAGCTCTCCCTGCCGGCTGTGTGATAAAAGCGTCCTCCTCCCATCTTCACAGAAGGAAAAAAATTCTCTATTTCCCACGCATGTCTTCATTTCCCTGCGCGCCACATCAGTAGCGATTCTAAGCCTGTCCTTCAAAATCCATTGCCCTCCCCGGTCGTGTCCCTCTCAGCAAGCTCGGTCTTGTGAATCCGCGGTGGTCCCCACCCGGGCATTCTTATCCGTTCTTTCACCTGCAACAGAAACTTTCCATTCATTGAACTCCAGTTAGCAAAAAAGTCCAAATCTAAAACTTCTCGTTCAAGCGGATAAATTATTGAGTTTCAGTCTAAATCAGCATATTTAAGTCCCCTATTATCATATCCATTTTTCCTAATCAGGACTGAAAAGACTACCGCCTTCACCCTAATAGAACGCCCCGTCATTATTGCTGTATTTGGGGTGACTTCCAGTCTAGATGCACCAACGATGACCAGCCGTTCTATTCGGATGAAGACCGAAATTTAACTAAGAGCACGGGAAACAATTTGAAACGTCCAAATTGGAATTTCCGTTTAAATTATAAACTGACATGTCAACAACATTGAACAGAAAAACGTCGACTGAATTTGGACTGATACTTTGCCCAAATGATTACATTTCGACTGAAATTCTACAGAAAGGTCCGAAACCAATCAATTTATGGACTGAAATTCTACCGAAACCACTCAATTCGGACCGAAGTTCCGCTCAAAATTTTAGACGCAGAGGAACAGTTTCGAATTTCCGGTTAATTTTTGAGACTGCAATGTCAACGTCGAACAGAAACTCCAACTGAATTTAGACTGACGTTTACCCAAAAGATTAAATTTGGACTGAAATTCTACCGAAATCAATCAATTTGTGCTCTAGGATAAACGAGTCTGCACATCTGTGTCTGTGTGTGTCTTAGATTTTCCCCACAACAGCCCCAATTCCACCCAGGTGAATAGGTTCAGAATCAAAGCAGTCTTTATCCATTTTTTTTATTTTTTTTTTATAATTTGGACCATTTCTCGATTTATGCGTGTCATCCTTGCGCAGGGGCCATGCTAATCTTCTCTGTATCGTTCCAATTTTAACGGATGTCCCGGAGGACAAATCAGTCTTTATCCTATTGCATACAACGAGAGCATTTGAGATGTCCAACATATTTGTCCTTGGGGTACCCCTTTCATTGTTCTTGCAGCTCCCCTTTTACTGTGCCTCTTACGCGCAAGGCTGCCCACGTTGATTGTGGTTGCGGCAGCTGCCCACGTGTGCCTCCACAGCCCACTTGCACGTTATTTCAGGAGGCAGAGTAAAAGGGAAGGTATGCTCCTGTGCATCTCTTCAGAGCTTCATACTCCTGTCCATTTCATTTCAGATCTTCAGCTTATACAGCCTTTGTGTCCGTCCTTCATCTTCATACTTCCGTTCATTTCATTTCTGATCTTCATATCGTCCATACTCTTAATGATGCTCATTCGTACGTATTTGTTAGTAGTACAAAGGGAGTGGAGGGGAGGGTGGAGGGTAAGGGATAGAAGGCAGAGTTCTCTAGGAGTATGGGGCAGGGGAGGTAGGGGCAACGGGAAGGAAAGAAATATGTGGAGGGCAGGATAGAGTGACACAAAAAAAAAAAAGAAAAAAAAAAACTTGTGGCGAGTGGCCACCCCTGCAGACCGGACAGGACCGGTTCGGGTGTCGGCTATGGAAGCACCGCATGCGTGTGTGTGTGCGTGTTCGTATGTGTGTGTGAGAGAGAGAAAGAGAGACTGGGTGTTTGTTTGTGTGTGTGTGTGTGTGTGTGTGTGTGTGTGAGAGAGAGAGAGAGAGAGAGAGAGAGAGAGAGAGAGAGAGAGAGAGAGAGAGAGAGAGAGAGAATTGTGTGATGCAAACGTGATAACCATACCGAGAACTTTTTGCTTCTGCAATTGTACCAAGCATATCAATCAAGTTGAATCAAGAGCTACAATAAAATGAGAGAAACAGAGAGAGACAGAGAGACAGACCGACCGACCAACAGACAGACAGACACAGACCGACGGACCGACCGACCGACCGACCAACAGACACACAGACAGACAGACTGAAAGACCGACCGACTGACCGACCGACCAACCAAAGACAGACAGACAGACAGACCGACAGACCGACTGTTACATGCTGAAAGCCTACACACGGGCCCCTCACGGGACCCGAGGTTGGAATAGGGCCCCCAGGTCGCGTCACCGCAACCTGAAGGCCCTATGGCATTTTTACTTGGGCCTGCATCAGAAAAACGCCAGCTTTAGATTATTTTTATAGTCTTTTATTTTATTTATGTGCTGCTGTTTTTCTAACGGTTGTACTGTTGTCCGTTTTGTGGCCAGGTACACGTTTTAGGACCAGGGCCAGATTCAGGCCCAGAGGCTGAGCTCCTA